TGTAATAAAAAATATATATATATATATAATATTTTCAATTATCAGTTATCTTATATTGATTATTAATAAATATAATAGTTAGCACAATTATGACAATTATAATTTTATAAAAATTAAAATTTTAAATAAAAAGATACATATTTTAATTCTTAGAGGAAAAAGACTTTTAAAAAAAAAGTGATGTAAGAAGAGAATAAATGGGGAAAAAAAATAAGAAATTTTGACACAGAATTTCACAAAATTTTCTTTGTTGAAAAAATTGTATTATTTTTTAAATCATTATTTTCTATTATTATATATATGCATGTGGGATAAAGTTATAATTATTCGTCAATTTAAATGAATGAAATAAAATATTAAATAGTTATTAATTTTTTTAAAAATTTATAAATTCTATGCATTGAAAATTTTAATCTAATAATTAAATATTAAAATTTGATATAAAACATGAGTTATTAAATAAAATAGGTCTATCAAAACTTATTTTTAAAATAAGTGAATCTCTTATTTGTTCAGGGTCGGCCCAAACATAAGACTGTCCAATTAGGTCCCCAAAATATTTTTATTTATTTATAGAACTTAATGAATCTGTTGTATCAATACTAACATTAGTTTGTTGGTCATTATTTAAGCTCAACATTGTAAGGACTAGGTTCGATTTTAATATTGTAATTTTTTGTTAAAAGTTCTTTTTTTTTTATGGGTACCATTGATTTTCTTGTCACTCTCTTATCTTTAAAAATGTTCAACTTCAAAACTTGTTTTAAGCCTCAAAATATGTTCGGCCAATCCTAGATTTATTTGTTGTAAAAAAAAAAAATTAATTAAAGAATACATTAAACATAATATAGAATTAATTGAAGATTTATGAAAAGCACACCCTTTAACGGAAACTATATGGATGGATCATCAATACAGGAAAGAGAAAAGTTGAATTTCTGTGATAGTGGAGTCATCCTCCATGGTCTAATCCTTCAAAACACCATGCTCCTAACTTTTTCTCTCATTCGTTTGTCTCAATGTTCTGCGTTGGAATGGAAACAATACATTGAACCCGTAGAGGGAGTAGTAAAAGAATGAAACTGACCTTGTTGTTAGAACGTAAAATGTATATGTAAAATGTATATTGCAAAACGAGAGAACCACAGTATTTATACAAGAGATAAGGAACAGAATAACCAAAACAGAATAACCAACACAACAACACTCCCTCTTAATTCTGTTTTACAAGATTGATCAAATTCAATTGATTTCTCAAAAATCTAAACCTTTCTCCTTTTATTGCTTTAGTTAGAGCATCTGCAATCTGATGGTTAGTACTGCAATACATCAATTCTAATTTCCTTCTATTTACTTGATCTCTTAGATAATGAAATTTGGTCTCGATATGTTTGCTTCTCCCATGCGTCACATGATTGTTAGACAAACTAATAGCTGATTTATTGTCTATGAGCAATTTCACACCTTCTGTTCCTTTTAGCCCCAGTTCTATCAGCAGTTTGTCCAGCCAAGCTGCTTGGCAAGCACACATAGCAGCGGCTATGTACTCAGCTTCACAAGTAGACAAAGCCACCACCGGTTCCTTCTTTGAACTCCACGATATCGGAGCTCCTTCAACGAAGAATACAAATCCTGCAGTACTCTTTCGATCGTCCTTGTCACCTCCCTAGTCTGCATCAGTGTAGCCAATGACTTCAACCTCTTCCTTTGATTTATTATTATTCGGAAACAAAATACCGATCGCAATTGTTCCCTTGATATATCTCAAAATCCTTTTGGCAGTAAGAAGATGAGATACTCTAGGTTTCTGCATGTACCTTGATATTAGCCCAACAGAAATCTCGATATCAGGTCTTGTGTGACAGAGATAACGTAATGAACCAACAATCTGCTTATACTCTGTTTCGTCGACATATTCATCACTCCCATCCTTCTCTAGAATCAGACCCACTTCTGATGGAGTGATTGCTGAATTACAATTTAGCATGTTGAACCTCTTCAACACTTCTGTTGCATATCGACGTTGATGCATCACTATTCCTCTTGTTACTTTTGTAAATTCGAAACCCAAGAAATAAGACAAGGGTCCCAAGTCAGTCATCTCGAATTCAAGCATCAACTCCTTCTTAAGATTGACAATATCTCCTTCATGATTTCCAGTAATCAAAAGATCATCAACATACAGACAAATTATAATCAAGCTTCGTTTCTCTCGAACATAAACTCCAAACTCACATGTACACTTGATGGAGATGGTAAGGAGGAGTGATGAATGTTAGGCATGTTTCCATCAACACTTGACAAAACCAAGTTTTATCATGTAATTGTCGATTCTTTATTCCAGGCTCTTGGCGCCTGTTTGAGACCGTAGAGAGCTTTCTTCAACTTAAACACCTTCTCTTCTTATCCTTCTATTATAAACCCAGGAGGTTGAAACACATACACCTCCTCTTCAAGGGGCCCATTTAGAAATGCTGATTTAACGTCAAGCTGATGCAATGTCCATCCTCTTGAGCTTGCAATAGCGACAACTGTTCTTATCGTCTCAATTCGAGCAACAGGAGCAAACACTTCTTTGTAGTCAATATCGGGCCTTTGAAGGAATCCCCTTACGACCAACCTCGCTTTATACTTTACAATCTTACCTCCTGGATCAGTTTTGATCTTAAAGACCCATCTCACACTAATGGCCTTCTTTGATTTCGGTAAGGATACTAGCTCCCACACTTGGTTTTTCTCCATCGACCTAATCTCCTCTGTCATAGCATCAACCCACTTCCTGTCCTCAATAGCTTCTTTAAAACTAACAGGTTCAACCTCCGAAAATAATGCAAAGTGTACAATGTCACCATCTTCATTGACATTTGCATCTGACGTCATTTCAAAGCCTCTGAACCTACTGGGAACTTGGCTGTTCCTTTGAGATCTTCTTTGAATTGGGGATATGCTTCTACCTCTTGCTGAATCAACTTCCTGATTCTCATCAATTTCAGCCTCCTCAATATAAAAAAATTGTCTTGTAGATTGCGATGGTTTATAGTAAACCGTCGCAATGCTAAAAATTTTGCACGGTTTATGACTAACTGTCGCAATGTTAAAAATATTTTGCGACGGTTTATGATTAACTGTCGCAATGTTAAACAAATTTTGCGACGTTTACGATAAACCGTCGCAATGTTGAAAAATTTTGCGACGGTTTATGATAAACCGTCGCAATGTTAAACAAATTTTGCGACGGTTTATCATAAACCGTCGTAATGTTAAACAAATTTTGCGACGGTTTACGATAAACCGTCACAATGTTGAACAATTTTGCGACGATTTTGAAAAATTATCGTATGAAGGGTCGCAATATCAAAGCGACGACGGTTTCTAGATAACCGTTGCAATTTGTCCGTCGCAATCTACCATTTTCCTTTTAGTGTTTCAATTTTTCACTTTAGATATTTTCGAAATCAATTTTAAACCTCACAATTATTCATCTAAATTATCAATCATTAACTTATATGGAGAATAACATACTAACTAATGATTTAGCACTTAAGTACAAAACTAAACATGAACAAAGTAAAACATACAAGACAAATTATAGGTTTCACTATTAATCATCAAGAGACTTATACAATTACATTTGTAATCATCAAAACATAAGAGTTTTCACTTGATCTTGATAAACACCTATACTTATTTCACTCAATAACTCATGTTTTATGTTAAACTTTACTTCTTAATGTATGGATCCAGTCGATCTACAAATTTTTAAGAATTTTGAAACTTATTTAATATTTCCTTTCTTTAATTCAGATTGATGAATAATCGTAATAATATTTTATACGTTAATTTGAATTAATGAAATAGAATATAAATAGTTTTCAATCTATTAAAAATTTGAGGACTTGATTTCTACATTAAAAAAAACTTAATTCAATGATTGATCATTGAAATTCAACGTAGAACATCAATTGTTAATGTAAAAAAATTGAGAAAATGGAGTTTTATAAGTGGATCCCTCCACACACAAACACACACATATACACATATAACAAAAATATCATCTTAAAACATTTAATTTACTACCTTGATATAGAACAGATCCTATTATTTGTTGGAACGTAAAACTCTTTTACGTATGTATTATTGCAACTAAGAAAACAAAGTATTTATACAAGAGATAAGAAACAAAATAACCAACTCAACAACACTCCCTTTTAACTCTATTTTACAAAATCGATCAAATTCAATTGATTTCTCATAAATCTGAATCGTTCTCCTTTTTATTGCTTTAGTTAGAGCATCTGCAATCTAATCATAAGTACTATAGTAGATCAATTTCAATTTCTTCTATTTACTTGATCTCTTAGATAATGAAATTTAGTCTCGATATGTTTGTTTCTCCCATGTGTCACAGGATTCTTAGAAAAACTAATAGCATATTTATTATCGATGAACAATTTCACACCTTTTGTTCCTTTTAACGTCAACTCTATCAATAGTTTGTCTAGCAAAACTACTTGGCAAGCACACATAGTAGCAACTATGTACTCAACTTAACAAGTAGACAAAGCCACCACCGATTCTTTCTTTGAACTCCATGGTAGTGGAGCTCCTTCAACGAAGAATACAAATCCTACAATACTCTTTTGATCATCCTTGTCACCTCCTTAGTCTGCATCGGTGTAGCCAATGACTTTGACCTCCTCCTTTGATTTATTATTATTTGGAAACAAAATACCCATCTCAATTGTTCCCTTGATATATCTCAAAATCATTTTGGCAGCAAGAAGATGAGATACTCTAGGTTTCTGCATGTACCTTGATATCAGACCAATGGAAAACTCAATATTGACTTTCATGTAACAAAGATAACATAATGATCCAAAAATTTGCTTATACTATGTTTCATCAACATGTTCATGACTCCCTTCCTTCTTGAGAATTAGACCCATTTCCGATGGAGTGACTGCTGAATTATAGTTTAGCATGTTGAATCTCTTCAACACTTCTATTTCATATCGATATTGATGCATCACTATTTCTCCCATTACTTTTGTAAATTTGAAACCCAAGAAGTAAGACAAGGCTCCCAAGTCATTCATCTTGAATTCATGCATCAAATCCCTCTTAAGATTGTCAATATCTCCTTCTTGATTGCCAATAATCAAAAGATCATCAACATACAAACAAACTATAATCAAGCTTCATTTATCTCAAACATAAACTCCAAACTCACATGTACAGTTGACAAAACCAGTTTTTAACATGTAATTGACGATTCTTTAATTCTAGGCTCTTGGCGCCTGTTTGATACTATAGAGATCCTTCTTCAACTTAAACACCTTTCCCTCTTATCCTTCTATTATAAACCCAGGAGGTTGCAACACATACACCTCTTCTACGAGGGGCCCATTAAGAAATGCTAATTTAATGTCAAGCTGATGCATTATTCATCCTCTTGAGCTTGTAATAGCAATAACTATTCTTATTATCTCGATTCAAGTAACAGGGGAAAAAACATTTTTGTAGTTGATATCGACCCTTTGAAGGAAGCCCCTTATGACCAACCTGGCCTTATACTTTATGATCTTGCCTCCCAGATCAGTCTTGGTCTTAAAGACCCATCTCACACTAATGGACTTTGATTTCGGTAAAGACACCAGCTCCCACACTTAGTTTTTCTCGACCGACCTAATCTCCTTTAGCACAGCATCAACCCACTTTCTATCCTCAATAGCTTCTTTAAAACTAACAGGTTCAACTTTCGAAAATAATGCAAAATGTATAATGTCGCCATTTTCATTGACATTTGCATCTGACGTTATTTCAAAACCTCTGAACCTGCTAAGAGCTTAGTTGTTCCTTTGAGATCTTCTTTGAATTGGGGATATGCTTCTACCTCATGCTAAATCAACTTCCTGATTCTCATCAATTTCAACCTCCTCAAAATCAACGACAACACCATTGTATCTGTCATTTGAAATTGACTTCCAATTCCATCTTCTCGATTCATCGAACACATCTTTACATATCACAATTTGCTTACTATTTGGATTAAGAAACTTGGAGCCACCGATTTGACGATATCCTAAAAACACCATCTACTCCCCTTTATCATCAAGCTTTCTTCGTAATTGATCAGGAACATGTGTGTAATAGATTAAGCCAAACACTCTGAAATGGCTTACATTGGGTTTATTTCCATACCATGCTTCTTCTGGAGTCCTTCTCTCTAGCCGTTTTAATGGACTTCAGTTCAAGATGTAGGTGGTTGTTGACATAGCCTTACCCCACAAATACTTTGGTAGCTCCTTACTCTTTAGCATACTCCTTACCATGTTCATTATGGTCCAATTTTTCCTCTCTGTAGTCTCATTGTGCTAAGGTGTATATGGTGGAGTAACCTCATGCTCAATGCCCTCTTGATCGCAAAACTTTTAGAATTCTCTCGACATGTACTCACCTCTTCCATTAGTTCTCAAAACTTTGATTAATTGGCCACTATTACGTTCCACCAACACCTTAAACTTCTATAAAACTTCCAACACTTCACTCTTTATTTTGATTAGGTAAATCCATAACTTTCTAGAAAAATCATTAATGAAAGAAGCAAAATACCTATTTCTTCTAAGGGACTCAGTTTGGATTAGACAGTAGACATATGAGTAGACTACTTATAACCTCTCTTTTGTTTTCATTGACACATTCTATTTGAAAGAGTTTCTCGACTGCTTACATTCTAGGCACTCTTTACAAACTTCACTAGGTTTAGTAATATGGGGCAATCCTTTCACCATGCTTTTCGATTTCAAGGTATGTAAGTCTCCGAAGTTAAGATGTCCAAATCGATAGTGCCAAAGCCATTCCTCTTTATTGACTACAACTACTAAACACTCATGATCGAGTACATCGATATTGACCTTAAATGTTCGATTCGTGGTCAAAGGTGATTTTAATAACAATCGATGTTGATTTTCATATAAAGTAAGTTCCTTATCTTCTAACTTAAATACATGTATTTTCTCAAGAAGTTGTCTAAGACTAAGTAAATTACTTTTCATCTTGGGAACAAATAATACATTAGTGATGAAAGCCTAACTATCATTC